GAAATTCACGTACCTCGCACAATCGGCATGCGTTTGTTTCATAATTTTACGACCATATGTCCTGCGCACGTTTCTATTTTTCGTTACACTCTGTTTCCTTATTTGAGCGACTCGGGTTGCAATGTTACTTTGCGCAATTTGTACGCTTGCGACTCTTACCGCGATAATCGTGAGCGAATTATAATTAACAGCGAACAGTGGCATCATTACAGGACTTGCGGCGGACAGTGAGAAGAAAAATGTTCAACTATATCGCCGCCGAGAACTTTTCATTAACTTCAATACGCGAAAACTTCTGGATTCTCAATTGTGAAATATTAATGTCGTTTTCATTAATGAAATTTCTGCTCCTATCATAAAAAGTATTCAGAGAAAGCACTTTCGAGATATACTCGGTATATCTTGCGTATCCTCCACATCCTGCAAGATATCAAGTAATAAAACCAACTGACTCAATCTTAAAATTAGCAACAGCTATATAACGTTGCTTACTGTGCGTAATTACATTGGTAGCTAATTAGATGACCTCTACGTCGTGATATCTACCTTATATACCTTTCTTTTTGCGGGAAACCTTTTTGCCCAGTCAGCGAGAAACAAATCGCTTCAATGCATCGCGTACTTACATGTGTATGGTGTGTGAACATCATGTAAGCGGATGAACGATTATGCTATACTGATACACGCATGTCAAAATATATGCACACCGCAACGCATAACATCTGCATAGGCATACACACAAGTTCCACTGCGCGATATGTATCAGCAAATATATGTGCGATTATATGCGCCTGTGCGATCCGTTTTATGAGTCACTCGCATCCGTATCTATTCTTATACGCATTCGGACTTCCTGCCTAAATCGTCTCGTTAGCGCTTAGTTTTGCGGAAACCAGGCACTATGCATGTACGTGTTCGTATAAACGCGATCGTCTCGTACATTGTCGTATCGATGTGACACGTGCATCAGCCTTATGTCACACAAGGCTTCGTGCGACGGGAACGTGCTGTCGTGTTGTGCGTGTTGGTCACTGCACTTCCGCCCGGGACGCAATACGTCTTGCACAGTGTGCACTTTACGTCTGGCTCACGCGATGTTTGCCGGGGGTATCTGCGACGATAAGAAGTTACAGTACAGGGCGGTCATAATTTCGCGACTTTCCCTCTGTATCATTTTTTTAAGCATTGGATAACGAGAATGCGAATTTAAAAACATATTATCGTAAGACTATGATTAACACAAACTTTGAAATGAGAACATTCTATTCATCTTATCTAGTATTTTTAATTCAATTGATATTCGATCTCTATCGCTGAAATTGAAAACGTTTGTGTTGTCTAAAGAACAATGTTCTTCATTGAAATACTATACTTATAATTGGTGGTTCAGTTATAAGTATGGCACTGAACACAGAAAAATGCATATTGCGTATAAGTAAATGTTTCAAGTATTTCATAATTTTATATATTCACAAATTTATCATATGTTTATCACAAACATTATTTAACATATATTTTGAATCCTAGTGAGTTTAGCGTCAATGAGGAATATCAAATTAAAACAAAAAATTCAGTTTGCTTGCCAAATAAAGCCACACTAACTTTTTCTTCGATAAAGTTTTATAATATTCTTATGTAAAGAGAACATTTTTCTTTTGAGTATACGATAATGAACTTTTCTCAAACTTGTGATATATGTGTGTGTGTAAGTATATTTTATGACTATTATCAAGAAAATCTTTGTTGAAAATTACTTATAAGAAAGAAAGTAAACTGCTTTTCTTAGCAGTAAAATATTTTTCTATATATGTAATCAATAAAACCTCATTGAAGAAATCAATTAATAATAGCGACTATTCTTATTATTGATTGTACTTGACGAACACAGGTAGTATCATTACACGCAAAGCACACATGATTCGTGAATTCCATTGTCATAAATGCAGAAAGTTGGATTAGGTATAACATATAACAAAATTGTGTATTACAGATCTTGCAGTGAAATCTTACTTCAACTGTTTAAAATTAGTAAAAAATATGAGCTGTAAAATGGGACTGTTTGCATTGAAATTCAGTGAATACTTACTGATTATCTGTGAAATAGTCCTTTTTCTAATTCAATCAAAAACATTGTTGCTGCCTCACTGTAAGGGACTGCAGTTCGTAGAACTTTACTGTTCATGAGCACAACAGGAAGGGAACATATGGACAGCGATAGATGCCTCTACGCGATTCACGGACTAATCAAAAATCGAACGCTGTATGTGCGCGAGATTGCGTCACAAGCTGGTATCGATCGATCGATCAACCGGTATTAGCCAACGTGGTCGGTTAGCCGCGCAGGTGCCTGGCGAAACGTGGGTGCTCACTGTCTCGTGGGTGGTATGAGAGGGCTTGAAATCCGTGTTTTTTACTCACCTTTCGGAAATATAAGGTTTTCGTTGAGCGAGGTCATGACGCCCACGCTATCGCGCTCATGGCGAACAGCTGCGATATACGACGAGTGAAAAGTTGGTTCCTTTCCCGCGTAGGACGACAGCGAGACACGGTTACAGCAAGTAATACCGGCGCGACGTCGTAACGATCAGATTAGATGTACCGAGATTTTTTAATCGGCGCGATTGTTAACTGTTCGATTGCCAGCTTGGCGCGATTAGATGGTGACTTATGGTTTAAGGTAAACTATTGTGGTAAACTTCGTATTGATATAATCTTAGTGTTCAATTTGTTATAAATTTAGTGCACGAGAGTGTACTCAAAATAACAGAGGCTAATTGAAGTAAAATATTATGTCGTTTGAGAAATGACCAAAAGTTGGAACAGGTAATTATTTATATCGTTACCTACACACGTTGTGGTATCTCTATTAATTTCTCAGGCAGAGATATATTGTTATTTCCTCGTGAGTAGGTCTCGGAAAGTGCATTCTACGTGCAATCTAGGTTTGAATATTATAAATGAACTGTGTACGATATAAATGAGCCATTGAGAATGTTACAGTTTAATACAAAGAGAATAAGGAAATGAAGATTAAAATACATTATGCGCAATTAGTTTCATCGCCGACCCGATTCTCAGAATTCATCGATCACGAGATGAGTCGTACGATTGCACACAAGCCCCTGATTATCCTGAATCTCGGATCCCTCTGCAATTGCACTGGAAATCGTTATCTCTGTAGGTTGCGCGCGAAAGCTTATTAAATTTAATTAGAAGGAAAGTAGATTTAAGTGTCGACGAAGATTAATATCTCGCATTAAGATATTAAATATATATTTAAAGCGAGCGTTAACAAAAGAGTTGAAAAAGTCCATGAAAACGTATAGATAAAAGCAATTCATTTATATATAGTGATATTTATTAATATTAAAAAAAATATAAGCTCTTATGTCATTTATCATATTTTACTCTATACTAAAAATGTTAAAATAACCTATCCTCGTTTTGTTCGCAGAGTAGTCGTACACCAAGCTGGATATAAAGTGGATAAGACGTAGCGGAATTACACCGCATTATTATTCCGTGCACAGTAGTCACAACTGCATGAAGACGCGCGAGACCAGACACCGTGTCTTCGTCGGCTCATTCTAACCTTAGGCAGGGTTTAAGAAACCTGTTTCGAACGTCGCCCATTGCATTTGCATTTTATCTATCTGAAATCACTGAAAAAAGGACTAGTTCTTTCATACGACTAAACTTCTCGGGGTAAAAGCAACTTAATTTATCTGAAAAAGGATCTAACTAGAAAAATTATATAATTTTCTTTTGAGATGCTAAGAAATAGAGATATGTTTGTATATAAAATATCTTGTACTACACTTTCAATCCTACACAATTAATTAAAAACTGCTAATAATAATAAGACAACATTTTAATCAACTTGCATTATTCTACACAAAATCAGAATATAGGATCAGAATATTGGGCGTTTGCGTATAAATTATGATATTCTATACGTGTAGACAATATAAACTATATATGAAATGGTATTTATGCAGATAATGAGTAATTTATAGATGTTGTTTAAAGTATAGTTTGTTCAAAAATTAATTCAGAAACATTTATATTTTTATTTAACACTTTCAGAATCCTGATGTAAAATTATTAAAGTTGTTTCCTAAACAAGTTAGAGTCCACAGAATGATCTGGCTACGTTTTTTTTACTTAATTTAACTTAATCTAATAGAGAGTTAAATTTACCAAACTGTCACATAATGAAATGAAAATTTCATGCAATTTATCACTTTTAAACAAATATTCATAATTGATATCCAAAACAGATACGGTAACTGTTTTATAATTTAATTGCTTTTTTTTATTTCGTATATATCATGTAGAAAATACATAAACAATCCATATATATATATATATATAT